ATAGCGGGATAAGTCTTTATATGATCACAGCAAAATTAGTCTGTATATGATCATAGCGGGATAAGTCTTTATATGATCACAGCAAAATTAGTCTGTATATGATCATAGCGGGATAAGTCTTTATATGATCACAGCAAAATTAGTCTGTATATGAGCACAGCGAAATAAGTCTGTATATGATCACAACGAAATAAGTCTGTATATGATCACAGCGAAATTAGTCTGTATATGATCACAGCGAAATTAGTCTATATATGAGCACAGAGAAATAAGTCTGTATATGAGCACAGCGAAATAAGTCTGTATATGATCACAATAAGAAAAGTGTATATGATCACAGCGAAACGGAAACATGCGAACAGACTTGACAGATCACGTGTAAATGCGAACAGACTTTGACAGATCACGTGTCAATGAACACGTAGACTTTACAAAGAAAAGGAAGCTCGTGAATGAGTGTATTATAACACGGAAACACATCTTGACTAATCAATCAACCATTGAAAATCAAACGATGGTAAATATTTTATTGATTAAATAAAAACATTGCTAAAAATTAATGAATTCAAAATAATAATTATCAGATTCAATTATCCATCCAGTTATCAATTGTTTGGAATCGACTGGGTCTTCTGCAAGTAGTCTTGTGCTTCCTGCCAAAGATGGACTCTATGATTCATAGTTGACCACACACATGACAGATCTGATCCACAAGCTGTCTGATATAGGACAGTTTTAAGTCCACTGATTTGAATTGTCGAAGTCTGTTACTAGGTACTTAGAAAGCCATTTCTTGGTTTTGTTTCCGACAGAGTCAGATATCCAGTGCACCTATCTGACGGTTGGACCCTTTATCATGTGTTCCTTTAAGTATATCTGCCAACCAGGTTACCAGCAGTTAGATGGGTAGGCTTTACAACAAATACAGTTTTTGTTTTTTCTTCTGTGATATTCTCAGCTATTTCAGTACTATGCTTAGGCACTTCAAGAGATAAAACCTGGTGAATAGTTGTTTTGTAAGACTTTACATAGCCAATGAAAAACAAGACTCTCGTGAACGGTGTAGGGTATATCTAAACCTCGAAATGAATTGTCTAGTAACACTGTTTAACACTAATTGGTGTACACGTGTTATAACTCGCAATAGTCATTGGTTGGATAATTCAACAATAAATATTTTTTTCTTGTGATTATTTATGTATCGATTTATAATCTTGAAAATAATTTACCGAACGTTTTGCAATGAGGAAAATAACTTTATATTTATGAATGTGTATGAGGCTTGTTCAGCAATATAATTTTACTTTTCTTCAGTGTACATAATAGCAAGCATGTCCGTCTGTTGATAACAATAAAAGATCTTATTTAAAGGGAAGATGACGTAGTAGACCCCAGTATGAGTATGATGATGTTCAACAATCGTCGGTCACACCCAGTCCGGCATTTTCTCGCGAGTCTGGCCGGATGGCTGTCTAACGTATGTATTCCTATCAGACAGTGATTCAGGGGCCGCATGTAAGAACACATGATTTCGCCAATGAGTTTAGGGAGAAAGTTGGTACCGCTATAATAGTGAGTGAGTAAAATGCTTGATGCTGTCTGTATAGTGAAGGGGCAAGAACAGAATTTGCCACCTGTATAGGGAGGTCGTAAAATACTACATAACGCCAGTATATCGAGGGGTGAGAACACTTGGCGCCGCAAGTGCTGTGAGGACGTAAGAATGGTTGGTACCCTAAGTGCTGTGAGGACGTAAGAATGGTAAGTACCCTAAGTGCTGTGAGAAAATAAGAATGGTAAGTACCCTAAGTGTTGTGAGGGAGTAAGAATGGTTGGTACCCTCAGTGCTGTGAAGAATTAAGAATGGTTGGTACACTCAGTGCTGTGAGGGAGTAAGAATGGTTGGTACCCTCAGTGCTGTGAGGGAGTAAGAATGGTTGGTACCCTCAGTGCTGTGATGAAGTAAGAATGGTTGTAGTGCTGTGATGAAGTAAGAATGGTTGGTACCCTCAGTGCTGTGAGTAAGAATGGTTGGTACTCTCAGTGTTGTGAGGACGTAAGAAGGGTTGGTACTCTCAGTGCTGTGAGGGAGTAAGAATGGTTGGTACCCTCAGTGCTGTGAGGGAGTAAGAATGGTTGGTACCCTCAGTGCTGTGAGGAAGTAAGAATGGTTGGTACTCTCAGTGCTGTGAGGAAGTAAGAATGGTTGGTACCCTTATTGTTGTGAGGACGTAAGAATGATTGGTACCCTCAGTGCTTCGAGGAAGTAAGAATGGTTGGTACCCTCAGTGCTGTGAGGAAGTAAGAATGTTTGGTACCCTCAGTGCTGGGAGGAAGTAAGAATGGTTGGTACTCTCAGTGCTGTGAGGAAGTAAGAATGGTTGGTACCCTCATTGCTGTGATGAAGTAAGAATGGTTGGTACTCTCAGTGCTGTGAGGAAGTAAGAATGGTTGGTACTCTCAGTGCTGTGATGAAGTAAGAATGGTTGGTACCCTCATTGCTGTGATGAAGTAAGAATGGTTGGTACTCTCAGTGCTGTGAGGAAGTAAGAATGGTTGGTACTCTCAGTGCTGTGATGAAGTAAGAATGGTTGGTACCCTCATTGCTGTGATGAAGTAAGAATGGTTGGTACTCTCAGTGCTGTGAGGAAGTAAGAATGGTTGGTACTCTCAGTGCTGTGATGAAGTAAGAATGGTTGGTACCCTCATTGCTGTGATGAAGTAAGAATGGTCGGTACCCTCATTGCTGTGATGAAGTAAGAATGGTCGGTACCCTCATTGCTGTGATGAAGTAAGAATGGTTGGTACCCTCAGTGCTGTGAGGAAGTAAGAATGGTTGGTACTCTCATTGCTGTGAGGACGTAAGAAATGATTGGTACCCTCAGTGCTTCGAGGAAGTAAGAATGGTTGGTACCCTCAGTGCTGGGAGGAAGTAAGAATGGTTGGTACTCTCAGTGCTTCGAGGAAGTAAGAATGGTTGGTACCCTCAGTGCTTCGAGGAAGTAAGAATGGTTGGTACCCTCAGTGCTTCGAGAAAGTAAGAATGGTTGGTACCCTCAGTGCTGTGAGAAAGTAAGAATGGTTGGTACCCTCAGTGCTGTGAAGAAATAGAAACGGCTGGTACTCTCAGTGCAGTGAAAAAAAGTAAGAATGGTTGGTACCCTCAGTGCTGTGAGGAAATAGAAATAGCTGGTACTCTCAGTGCTGTGAGAAGATAAGAATGATTGGTACTCTCAGTGCTGTGAGGAAGTAAGAATGGTTGGTACTCCCAGTGCTGTGAGGAAATGGAAATGGCTGGTACCCTCAGTGCTGTGAGGAAGTAAGAATGGTTGGTACCCTCAGTGCTGTGAGGAAGTAAGAATGGTTGGTACTCTCAGTGCTGTGAGGAAATAGAAATGGCTGGTACTCTCAGTGCAGTGAAGAAGTAAGAATGGTTGGTACCCTCAGTGCTTTGAGGAAGTAAGAATGGTTGGTACTCTCAGTGCTGTGAGAAAATAAGAATGAATGGTATCCTCAGTGCTGTGAGGAAATAGGGATGGTTGGTTTCCTCAGTGCTGTGAGGAAATAGGGATGGTTGGTTTCCTCAGTGCTGTGAGGAAATAAGAATGTTGTTTTAAGTTTACAGCGATGTCTTTATTTCGAAATATGTGAATGCAACGAAAAGTTAATTGCTTGAGTATTTGCTGAATCGCCTATGTATTGTAGGACAAGACGCATGAGCAGATGCTTAGATCTATGATTGGCTGCAAGTAAGTAATATTTACCATTTATTTTAGGATTAACTTGAAAATATGTTTTATGTTATGGAGGTATAACACAAAAAAACGGTGTGTACTGTAAATAAACCGCGAAGAGTACACTCCGGTTTTTTGTGTTATAGCTACATAACATAAAAAATATATTCAAGTCAATCCTTATAATTTAATCTACTTTTCACAATCCCCGTGAAAATCCACTTTAATGGATGGACTCTTTTCTCTTGATTATTATTTATTTATTATTATTTAGAAATTATTACGCCGCTGTATCAGCCAATCGAAAGCGACGTTACAAACGGCGACGTCACTTTTTTACGTTATGGTCTGATAACATAAATGTTTAAGCCAATGAATATGCTTGTTACAAGCAAGATCAAATTATTCTAATATATGTTGTATATACCGTGTACAGTTAATCGACAAAGTGTTATTCTGTTTCTCCTATTGCTGATATCACTTGAAAAACTTAAAGAGTTGGAACATGGTGACAATCGGTAAGCGTTGCGGATAGGGAATATTCTATTTTATATTGGGGTGTTGCCAGATTTCTCCAGGAAGATTTTCTGTGAGCGAACATCCGGACGAACAAGAGTGATTAACATACGCTGATATAAATGGGATAATAAATGAATCGCAAGGCGCTATTCAACATAAATCTCATAAATATTTCTAAAAGTGACGTCATTATCTATTTGCAGATCAGTACATGAGTGGGGGAAACTGTACGGAAAAGTTCGTGTAAGTACTGTCTCATAAAGGGTAAAGTTGGTGTAGGTACTGTCTCATAAAGGGTAAAGTTGGTAGCAAATATCTGAACGCTTAAGTTGAAATACAGCCCCTATTAGAAATTAATAACATATTTGTTTGTCTAATAAATATAATTTTATTTACCGATATATAACCTCAGTAAGAGTATTAACAATATTGAATTCGTTCGATTAGTAAGGGATTTCCTCCATACCAGGTATGATATGCTTTCAACAATTCCAACACTAATAGTTTGTATAGCATTCCTTAGTTTTTATCATTGCTACAATGTTTTCGATAAGGTTCATATCAGGAATATTTCCCCGCCATGATAATATTATATTTCGTGTTTGTTCTAAAATATTTTGAAGCCCATCGAATTATGACGGAGCAAAATCTTAATGAAAGATATATTCCTGTTTAGAGAACACCAAACGTGCGGAAACCATCTCAAGTCGTTTCCAACTCTTCCTTTGGTATCGGACTCCGTTTACAGATACCTTTCTCTAACAGCACTAAGGAGAAAACATTTTAGTAACGATAGCCACTTATTTACTGATGTTTACAGACAGTTATGTACGGTCGGGATTAGAATAATCCACGACACTTTTTGGATAACTTCTGATCATTCTTATTTGCATATAAAAACATTTTACCACCCGATAAATCCACGAAATAAATTAACATTTCTTTCTCGTTTTCACAGTGTTCATGGTTATCATTTTAGTAGAGATCATTAATTTCAATTCGTAAAGAAGTGTCACATAACACATAACTGACACAATGAATAGCCTTTGTGCATTTTCAACTGAATAACAATGTGCTGTTAGTTTCTAACCAGAGCTGTAAATACACTGTGGCTAACGGTAAACTTTCCCCGAGGTGTGATACGCCTGTAACTTGAAATAATCTTCAGTTTAAATTATAATTAGCTGCTAGATAGTGTGAATTGAGCAGACCTCTCTGGTAGGGGGCTCCCCATTTATTATGGACGTGACGAACTGTTGAATAGTTGAAAGTATGGAATAGTGCCAGGATATCACTGCGCTGACTGTGCTGGATGGTTCCATTTTCATGACCAAATTTCAAAATATACCATAATTTGTAAATAAAAGTAAGAATGAATGTGTGCATTATATGTTGAATATTGAGATGTACATTATAATTTATAAACTGCAATGAATAAGTAACACTCTCTCTCTCTCTCTCTCTCTCTCTAAATACTAGATAAATGTAGTGATTTAAACTATGAAATCCATCTTATGATGTGAATATACAATTATTTATCTTATAAGGAAAGGGCGTTAATAATGTTCATGTAACTTGTGCCCAATCCTCTTGCATTTTTTGGCAATAAAATATGTTTAAACTAAACCATTTATTATGGTATATAATGATATGTACGTACACAATCCAGAGAGCTTGTTAGGTAGGGGCTGTCCCAATCACCTGCTCTCTGTATTGGAACCTGTAATAGTTTGTTTTAATTTATCAATATATTACGTATTACAACTGTTCTTAACTAAAAAATGATATAATGTCTATATATTTTTACATTAAGATGATTGATCTCTGCTATGTAACTATACGTTTTATACAGTGTAACTATATACTTGCACGATGTAATTGTGATATATGACACTATAATAAACAAAATTGAATTGACTGCACGGGTGGATAACGTTCCGAACGTCATTAAAAGTTATGATTTGGTACGCTGGGTCGTCATGTCTATTTATAGACAGTTGTATTCCTCCCGTTGACACAAAACTGGTGTGAAGGTTTGACTTTTTGTATTATACATTTTGTTGCTATTATATGGATGTTGACATCTTTGTCCAATAGTACATGTATGGCACTAGGATGATGCTCATAACTCTGAAGTATGATATACTGACCCTTCTTTAGATACACGCCACGGTATGAATTGATATATAGATTGTTGTTTAATAAATAATTGCTGCTTTTCAGCAATACAAAGATGAGTTCTACGACGCCTGGACACGTCAGAAGCTGGATGTTGTTATCTGTCCTCAGTTTGGCTTCGTCGCTCCTCCGTACGGCTACCTATTTAAAACATTTGGTACGTACCTCTACGTTGATACCTTGGTAACCATACTTCTGAAAGGTTCGCATGTACCTTAGTTATTTGAAAATCATGGCTTCCTCTTGTGATGTGTTATTAATAATTTGATATTAGCATCGTGGATCTATTATACCAAAGTAGAACAAAAAAACAGACACATGAAGATCAGGCTTACGTGCCAATATTGTTGTCGTCTACTTCACTCGGAACTAAAGGTTGATACCACCTGTTCATTGACCAGGAAAAATCGCCGGAGCGCGAAAGGAAACACGACATTTTCTTTTAAAGTTATGTGATAAATATAGCTAATGAGATTTTCTATCATTTAGATAAGGTGTACTAATATAATATGAACATTTCTTCTTAAAATATTTTAAATTGCTGTCGTGGTTTATTTGACAGGCGGAGGTATATTTGCCCCTATATATAACCTACTTAATTACCCCGCTGGGTGCCTCCCAGTGACCGCAGTATCAGCCAATGACATTGATGGCATGAAGAACTATCCAGAAAACACAGCGTTCGAGAAAAATATCAAAAAGGTTTGATATATTTATGCTTATATGTATTTATATAAACCGGAGATCTGAAATTAATTAAACAATAGCGTACGTGTACAATAAGCAGATGCATAGATTTGTTTTGTTTATTAAATACATACACTGATGTACCTACAGTGTACTAGCTATAGAAGAATCCTTCTGGAAAATATAATTTTAACGGTGTTCATAGTTTATTCAAAATGCAGAAAAATATGGATTGATTTCATTTTTTGAGTGTGTGATATGCGTTATTCTTTATCAAACCAGGTAACTGAAGGATCCGAGGGTCTACCTGTGGGACTCCAGGTGGTAGGCCAACAATGGCAGGAGGAACTCGTCCTAAGAGTTATGAAGGAGATAGAGGAAGCTATTAAGTCCTAACAGGACCGTGACCTAACAGGACCGTGTCCTACCGCCCTTCAAACTTCTGCTCTTCGTACTGATCGTGGGAAACAGACTTAACTAACACAAGCTAATTATAAGCGATTTACATTGTTATCTTTCAAGACAAACGAGAAGTCAGCATGCTAGATACATTTTCCCTCCCTGTGAATGCTGTAGGGATCTTTCGTCCGACCGTCTTTTCCACCGTGGAGTTAAGTACCTCAAAATAACTTGCATGTATTATTCTGAAAGAAAAAGAGACGCATTCAATATTAAGAAAAGTTGCACATATATCCGCTAGATACACACACGCTCATCCATGTTGTGTTATAAATAAGTATTACCTATAACCTTATCTTAAACAAGTTGTGATAATATATTAGTTGTAATGTACGTATTTAAGTTCATGTGCAAGTTTCGTCTTACAGGTATTATATCTCACTCACAAATGTACATATATATATATATCGTAAATCGTACTGTTTATTAACCATTGATCGCCATAATTTAAGCATATATAACGTATTCATTCACATTTAAACGACAAGGAAATGGATACAAATAAATAATCAAATTAAATTATTCAATCTGGAAACTAAAATGTGCCGTGTTTGCGTTTGTTTTTAACTTCTGTGTTATATTATACATTTATTCATATTAAAAATTACTGAAATGTAAATTAATATGAAGACTGTTTTTTGGGGATTTTTTCGTTATAATTTACTTCACCCACCTGCGCCTCACCTATATAGAAGTCGACATCAACCACGGAAATAATGATTTCGGACCAAGACGTTTGAGCAATGGCTTACTCGAGCATCTTACAGAGCTTACCATGACATTTTGTTTATGAGGATTCTACAAACGTGAAGGTTCGCATCCTCATCAGTAATGTGTCCTCGGAAATAGTGTAACACAGAAGCGTGATTTCCTAGTATTTCGTCTTTCGAAAAGTTGAGTTTCCTTGCTTATCTAGCAGGCCTAGTTATTTATGCAAGCAAGATAATTATATTAGATGTTTTGTCTGCAGACACATCTATAGACTTATCATGCAGATCTTTGAGTATTGTTTGGACATCGGGGCCAAGAATTACAGATTTATTTTCATTTTGGATATCAAACTACTTATTCTTCTTTGAATGGTAGACCAGACAGATTTAACCCACGCTAAAAGTTAATCCGATTCGGCGTGATCTTGTTTTGACCATTGACTGGCCAAGTCCTCAACATGTAATCTATCGGTATCTTGTCTTTACTGTAGATGCTCATTGATTTCATATTCTCAGCTAATTACTTGTTCCTCTGCTTTCATCTTTTTACCTCATTCATGAAAGAATTATTCAGGGATGAACGTAAAACACACACAGGTGGTTGAAACTTTAAAAATTGGTAAAAGACACAGTATGACAAAAACCGATTACACTGAATCATACAGCTGGTATGCTAGTGCCAAAAAGATGGAAGTCCAAAATGTCTAAAAGAACAAAATATAAGAGACACCCGGTCACCGTTGAAACCTTCCACTTTCGGGGAAACTCCACTCTGTACAACTTTCTTGTGCATACCTGAAAATATAATCACAATATTTTCAAAATATTGACACACTGTATATGCCATTAAGCAGGCATCCAAGTCGATGACATTTGTTTTATTTTGAAACATTATTCCAATGTCTCCTATTGTGGCCATTTGAATCAAGTTGAGCTAGAGGCAATGGCTTCTAATTGTCACAATAGAGTTCATCAAGGAAGGATCACGGAAGGATTTGACAACATATATCAACACAGTAAAGTCCACCTACAGCATCAAATATACACGTGAGGAAGAAACCAGTGACACTATGCCCTTCTCTGACACCATTCTGGTCAAGAAGTATGACGGAACCCTGAAGGGATTGGTCTATAGGGAAAACACACACACAGCCAAATGTCTGAACCTGTTATTGCATCTCCGTTTGCACTAGATTTAGTTCGTGCTTTGCTCAAAAGATGTGATGCGATATAGGTTGTCACAATGGCAGAAGCACACCAATGTGGCTTTCCGCAATCGTCACTTACTAGGATGTAAGTTGATGTGAATGCAATAAGAAGATCAACAAAATGTCTTTCAAGGAAGGGGACGAGGATATTGGTCAGGTGGATAGTCCCTAAACAATTTTATAAAGGAATTGAACGAACCTATCCGACAGGCGTATCAAGGTGACGTCATACCTGTAGCAATAGTCATGATACCTCAAGCAACACTGCGAAACACCGTTCAGACTATCAAGCTAAATCACGCGACATCATAATTCAGAGATACAAGAAAAGCGTAACACACAGACATGTGATTAAACCTATAAGAAATAGTAAGTGATACAGTACACCAAAAAGGAATTAGACTGTGTCATACAGGTGTTTCGTGTTTCTAGGACTCGTCAGTGATTATGGGGGCCAAAATGCTGGAAATCTAAATAGGTCTAGTCTACTGGTGAACAGAAGGGTGTGTGCATAAAAACCTGTAATTAACCTTATACCTTCAGAGTACTGGTTAATTAGTGAAGTGAAACTACTGAAAGACATCAAAGCAGCAAACCCATGATTGGAAGAAATTCGTCAGGTCATATATAAAACAATGGAAGCCCTACATCACTACACAGACAATAACAGTTCATACTACAAAACAAAGTCATGTTATTGACTGTCATTATTCCGTCGCAATGGCCAGAAAAAAACATCCGTGTATGCGGCAGTCAGTGTTAATGACACCATCTGTATTTCCTATTTCATTTATTACATTTAAATACAACTCGATGAGGCACAGATATCGCCTATTAAAACCCTTTCCAGAAGGGAAAATAGTCATACATACTATATTTAAATATAGTACATACAGAATATGTATATAGAAGATATGATAAATGGTACATATATTTATATTCAGATAAATAGAAGAAAAAATAACCAATTTGTGCTAGATACACAGATATTAACAATTAGAACCCCGGAGATTTTAATATAATCTTGTATTTGGTTAGACGCACTTCAAAAGTCACTGTCACTACACAGTACCATACTTACAAATTACACCAGGGTTAGTATGAATGATAAAGAAAGTTAGTAATTTAAATTACAGTGAATATTTAGTGACGTAAACAAGACGGGTGCGTTGTCAGTGTCGAATCAGGGGAGTTAACTCGTACGACCTTATCTCATATTCCTTGTCCCAAAGCATCACCCAAATATTTTCAGACGGCAGCAAAACTCTCTAAATAGATTTTAAATTCTTATCCCTATCTTACTATGGCAAAAATATAAAACCTCAACTATAGTTTTCTTTCTTTGTTTTTAACATAAAAAGTCCGAAATAGCTAGTTGATTAGCTTTAGTGATAAAAAAACCCTTTCTTTCGTTGAAAAAAACAGCAAGGGAAGTAACTCGTACTCAAGATAGTGAGTGGATTCTGCGAGCAACAGTTTACATACTGGTCTATTTTCTTGTTTTTTTTTATGCCTATTTATTACAAATATCATTATGATGTGATGTGTGATGAAAATATATTAAAATTATTAGAAATGTCATTTATTGTATATATACATTTTTTAATCACATCTATAATATTATATAATGAATTAATTTAAAGATTTAAGTATGGATTGGTTGATAACTGATTAAGACAAGTTATTATAAAATGCTTCTCTATTTATGCTGAATATATTGAAAAGTGTACTATTTGTTTTTCTTCTGTAATATATGTCTTAGCAATTATAGTGTTAAAATCCAGTAATTGCTTTGTATGTAATCTAGGGAGATGAATATAAAAGATCACTTTTAGAAGAGTAGGAAGTTGCGCAATTTTGAGCGTTTAATAACCCTTTATCTGGAAGATGTTTGGCCATAAAGAGAGCCGTCATGTGGGGGTATTAATTCTATGTCTGCAGAATAGTTCATGTGGGGGTATTAATTCTATGTCTGCAGAATAGTGCAAATTCGGTTCTGTTCTTCCTTGTTCAGTTAAACGTCGTCTGGGAATGGCGTTCAATGACATCATCCCACTCAGCTGCCATTATGCAGGAGTGATCCCAAAACACAGTATTTTATTGCTATCGAAGTAGAAGTTGATGTTGTGCTAATTGGATTTTTTTACTCTATTTATGATATTCTAATTTTCTTGCGTGAAAAGCGCGTCTGGTAAACAATATTAAAATGGTTTCACTTTTAACAATTCCTGGTTGTTACTTGATAACTTTAAAGGATGAGAAAGTCAGCAGAACACATTTGACGATGTATTGTTGCGTGCAACGGTAGCGACCCCAGGTGTATGTGGTCAAAGGTCACGATGTCAAAATGAAAAGGATGCACGCGCAGTGAAGAGAGCACTGATCTCACGTGCTCGGCACAAACTCTGAAGTGACTTGGAAAGGCAATTGATCCCCACCAGACGAAGTAGATCTTTGTTAATCCATACGGAATTGTAAGTAAACCTGGACCTGTCTTTATGTCACTGTTTGCAAATGCATTTCCATTTCTTGTTCAAATGAACTTTAATCCATTTTTGAACACGAGAAATGTTGTATGGATTCGAGCCATTTTCGGTTATCGTCTAGGTATCAATATAACTTTGATAAATGAATAAGCTTGGTAAGTGATATAAAAAAAGTTTCCTATTTACATGAATGGAGATAAAAAAAATTTTTTTTTCAATTATTGTATTGCTAAACTAATAAATAAATTCGACCCCCCCCCCCCCACCCCCCCTCCATTAATACATACAAATAGAATATATTATGTGGGTGGGAAAATACATGGTAGAATTAAGTTCAAAACAAATGGCTTTTCAAGACAGTTTAATCAAGGAAACATGATGGCAGATCCAACACGGGTCTTTGTTTGCAGAAATAGCAAGGGTAAAGGTCGACAGCTTAATCAAGAGTCTATGTTTACAGGAATAGCAAGGGTAAAAGTTGACAGCTCCATCAAGGGTCTTCAATTGCAGGAATAGCAAGGGTAAAGGTCAACAGCTGCAACACGAGTCTTATTTGCAGGAATAACAAGGGTAAAGGTTGACAGCTCCATCAAGGGTCATTGTTCGCAGGAATAGCAAGGGGAAAGGTAGATAGCTCTATCAAGGGTCTTTGTTTGCAGGAATAGCAAGGGTAAAGGTCAACAGCTTCATCAAGGGTATTTGCTTGCAGAAATAGCAAGCGTAAAAGTCAAGAGCTCCATCAAGGGTCTTTGTTTGCAGGAATAGCAAGGGTAAAGGTAAACAGTTAAATCAAGGGGTTTTGTTTGCAGGAATAGCATAGGTAAAGTTCAAGAGATCCACCAAGGGTTTTTGTTTGCAGGAATAGCAAGAGTAAAGGTCAAGAGCTCCATCAAGGGTATTTGCTTGCAGGAATAGCAAGGGTAAAAGTCAAGAGCTCCATCAAGGGTTTTTGTTTGCAGTAATAGCAAGGGTTAAGGTCAAGAGCTTCATCAAGGGTGTTTGTTGGCAGGATAAGTAAGGGTAAAGGTTGACAGCTCCATCAAGGGTCTTTGCTTGCAGGTATAGCAAGAGTAAAGGTCCAGCGCTCAATTCAGAGTCTTTGTTTGCAGGAATAGCAAGGGTAAAGTTCAAGAGCTCCATCAAGGGTTTTTGTTTG